ATATTCCCAACTCTCCAAATCCCCAAATCTCCAAATCCCTAAATCTTCAGAATCCCAAACTCTCCAAATCACCAAATTCAAAATTGTCCAGATACTAATATCCCTAGATCTCAACTTCCCCATCACTCAATATCCCCAAATCCCATCTTCCCCAGCACCCAATACTCCCAAATCCCAATTACCCAGCACCCAGTACCAGTAATCCTCTCCAGACCTCCAAAAACCTCCCTAAATCCTCCTAAAATTTCTATCCTCTGCAAGCTGCATCCTCTTCAGAAATAATCTACTCCCTCAAAACCAACAATGAAGCAAGTTCCAATCCTTGAAGGAAGCTCCCGCAGGATCGAGCAGCAAGATGTAAGCGTGTACAGAAGTTATAATAAGGCTGAACTAGGTAGGCGGCGAACAGGAGCAGAGTCTCGCAGGCCGTTCACCTGGGCCAGGCTCGGTTATCGGCTCGTATGCACCGCACTGTCCTGGTTGTTCTCCATCGGTGACCGGCGCGACTGAAATAAAAAGAAACCATAGAACGGAGATAAAAAAAAAAAAAACGAAACCGAAACCGAGCGCGTGTCGTCGCGCAGATAAAGATAATAGGTCGGCTCTCTAGGCGAAAAGCTCGCTACTCCGGCGACGATACGACGGCTAGGGAAAAGCTACGCTTCCCTCGGATAAGGATAATCGCCTTTTATTTCGCGTTTCGCGGCTCTATATTTAGCGTCGCTCGCCGGTAGCCGTCCGCTCCATCGCTAACAACTGGCCGCGTAAGCTTCTGCCTGACCGTAAACGTTTATCGGGCGACAGGAAAATGTTCGATGTAATTTTCTGCTACAACAACTGGTAATTGATGTTATCCATTCGAATTTTTTTACCGACGTTTTTGGTAGTATAAAGGATTATCCGGGAAAGCATGGGGAAATGGAATGGCATCTTCTGGGGAGATCATCTAGGGAATTTATTTGTGAGGACGTTGGGGGATGTACGAAACAAATTTTAGATCATTTCTGACATTTTTTAATTCTCATTGTTTCAAATTCAAGTCGAGCTAATGACCATAGTAATCGACGACCACAACAATAATCAATCAATGAAATTCAAGTTTGAGATATTTGTTAGTTCATAGATATTTTTTTTTTAAATTGTGTATTTACATTGTTTTTTAATAAAAAAAAATCTTAGTTACTTTGTAAGTTTCTATATTTTTAATTTTATATTTTAGGTCTTCAAACTTTCACAGTTTATTTGTGATTTATTATCATTATTTATATTAATGATTTGTGTTAACAATTTATGTTATTAATTTATTTTACTAAATTATTTTAGTGATTTATTTTAGTGATTTGTTTGGTTAATTATTTTTAATGATTTATTTTAGTAATTTTTGTTATGAATTTATTTTAATAATTTATTTAAATTATTTATTGTAATGACTCACTTTTGTGATTTATTTGATCCATTTATTTTAGTGATTTATTTTAACAATTTATTTGATGAATTTGTTTTAGTGATTTATTTCAATGGTTTGTTTAATGAATTCTTTTCTAGTGATTTATTTTAGTGAATTGTTTGATTAATTTATTTTACTAATTTATTTTAATAATTTGTTAGGTCAATTTATTTTAATGATTTATTTTAACAATTTATTTAATTTATTTATTTTAGTGACTCACTTTAGTGATTTGTTTAATAAATTTATTTTAGTGATTTATTTTAGTAATTCGTTTAGTCAATTTATTTTAGCAATTTATTTTAATAATTTGTTTTAACATTTTGTTCAATTAAATTATTATATGAAATCACTTTAGTGATTTGTTCAATAAATTTATTTTAGTAATTTATTTTAGTGATTTGTTTAGTCAATTTATTTTAATAATTTATTTGAATAATTTGTTTTAACATTTTGTTCGATTAAATAATTTTTAGTGACTCACTTTAGTAGCTGGTTTGTTGAATTTTTTTTAGTAATTTATTTAAGTGATTTGTTTGATAAATTTATTTCAATTAACGTAACCAATTCATTTTCATTACAACTCTCACTGATTTAATTACCATTATCAAGCTCCAATTACCATTCCTCAAAAGCTAGAATCCAATTAAACCGAGCGCAATTCTCTCAGAAAAATAAATTAACAACAATCACCGAGGACCGTTAAAGCAATTATCCATTTAATCGCGAAATAATCGAATCCGAGTTTTGTTTACACGATACCGAGCAAAAAGCATGTCATCTTATCGATAATTGTGCTTTAATATATGAAAATTATAGAGCAAAACCCGATCGGTTTGTACAAGTATTGACAACCGCGATCGAATGTTATCTTCTTTTTCCGTGCACACTTGTAAATGAATAAGTTGTTACGTTTTATCGATACGCATCGATATGTTCGTAATTAACAGACAAGGAACGATCGTAACTTTTATTTTAATCACTCGCTGTCTGAACGCAGATTTTCCGCCTATGGATTCAAGTACCACTTGGAGTCGCCGATCAGCACGTCACAGAGACGCGAGGACGATAGAATCACGTATATCAACAAGGGTCAATTCTATGGGATCACGTTGGATTATGTTCCGGATCCTGATAAACCCACTCTGAAAGCTGGACAGACTGTTAAGGTAAGATAACTGACTATCACCTACTAAAAACATCAGAATTTTTACTTTATTTAATCTTAATATGCAAAAGAGGGTCAAATTTGACCCCATGTGCGTTTTATATTCGAGTACGTATACTTCTTTGTGTGAGAATTGTGAAGAAGCACGAAGAAACTGGGTTTCAGTGTATATATTTGCAAATTAGAACGGTAAGACCTATATATTTCCCTGCGCCAGGGGCTGCGTGTGTACAGCAGGTTATTAGCGAAGTATCAGTGCCATTACAAGCTTTTACTTTAATCGACATGCAAGGAAATATCCATAAAAAGTAATAGAACATCAAAGAGTAAAAGATAGGACATTGTAAATTATGTCTAATTGCCATTATAATGCAATTTTATAGTATAACAACGTTCTGCAAACGTGAACACAAGGAAACTAATATGGCGGCGCGTATAACGTATTGTCATATACATATAAATCATTAATTACTACTAATAACTCAATACAAACACCATAATAGCTCTCCACAGAAAATATTCATCAAAATTATGTTATAAATACTTATAACACAATTATTATCACAGTATTATTACAATAATTACATTGTAAATGCAATGAACGAGTAAAATAACTTACTGCGCATGCGCAGTATTTACGCATGCGTAATAACCGCGTCCTCCGCCATATTTGTTTGAAACCATTAAATTTTAAAATGCACACGATAGAAATAGTGTATTCCGACATGTTTATACGTACTCTTAAATTTCATAAATATTATGATAAATAAACGTGCGTTTATTATATATTATACGCTCGAGAAACTTATAGGATAGAATTTGCGCAGCCCACGGAGGCGCTGGCATCGAAAAGAAGAAGTCGGACGAGGTCGTTTGTTCTCGCGACTCTAATTGGCAGCACTGCGCACCGTTAGCAATTTCCATTCTGATAAACCTGCCGATTCTCCTTTTTTCCTTCCTCTCTTCCACCACCGGCTAGCTATATAACTGAAGTTATGACTTCCTCGTTAATTGCTAATCGAACGTTCGGCCGCATGGCAACTCGAGTCACTTAGTTATATTCGTGGTAATATGGTCGTGGAAAATTTGGAAAGTGCGTTAGTGTAGTTGCATATTTGGAAATTTGATAGATTGCATTTTTGGAAATTTGAGAAATTGAATTTTAGGAAATTTTCAAGTCCTAAGGTGTTTGGACATTTTTTAACTGTAAAAGTTTCGGTCGATTTTTCAATTTTTAATCTGAGTTTTTGGAAAAGTTAGAAATTTTTGTATAGCTCTACAAGTCCCAAAATTCAGGAATGTATCAATGTCAAAAGTAGCAGTTTCCAAAGGCCTGAATCTTAAATTCTCAAAGCATTATAGTCCGAAGTCCCAAAATTCCCAAAGTACCAAATCCCAAGTCCCAAATTTCTAATGTCCTGAAGTCCCAAAGTCCTAAGTCCCAAATTCCAAATCCCAAATCTCCCAAGTCCCAAATTTCTCAAGTCCTAAATCTCTCAAATCCCAAATCTCCCAAGTCCCAAATCTCCCAAGTCCCAAATCTTCCAAATCCCAAATCTTCAAATCCCGAATCTCCCAAATCCCAAATCTCTCAAGTCCCAAAATTTCCAGGTCCCAAATCTCCCAAGTCCCAAAGCTCCCAAGTCCCAAATCTCTCAAATCCTAAATCTCTCAAGTCCCAAATCTTGCAGATCCCAAATCTTCCAAATCCCAAATCTCCCAAGTCCCAAAGCTCCCAAGTCCCAAATCTCCCAATTCCCAAATTTCCCAATTCCTAAATTTCCCAAATTCTTAAACCTCTAAATTCCCAAATTCCCAAATCCCTCAATCCCCAAATTCCCAAATCTACCAAATACAATCTCCTCTTACGTCATCAAACCGTGTCAACCTACAACACATCAAAACCAGCCATCCCAAGTCCCAAAGTCCCAAACCCCAAAACCCTAAAGACTCCATGTCCCAAAAATTCCATAACCAAATCCCCAAGTCCCAAAGTCCCAAACCAGACCCACCCACAAGTCCCAATTAAAATTAGGACCCCAATTCCGAGAACCCATGTTCGGAGGCGCGTTCAAATAGAGACCTCTATCTCAGCTATTTATCCATTTCCTTATTGTCCCGGCGTTTGAGCCGCGCGATCAGATAAAGTTAACCTTCTCGCGAACCAGTTACACGTGTCCCCAGGGCGTATTTCGCGGGTTAACGTTTCCAGCGAGCCGTGCTCGCGTACAGATTGCCGACAAATAATTCAGAATCAGGCAACCGTTGAACGCCGGTAGGCGATGAAAAATCCGACGGCGTACGTTCGAACCCGCCAACGATAACGCGTGCCTCGCGTGAGCGTGACATCGGTCGTCGCGACAGAAGCACGCTCGACTAAGCAGACCGGCACTCACGCATGTACTGCTGCCTCGACGGTTAGGGGATTTTTCGTGATTCGGGTGAATGGGCGAAGAATTGGCAGGGGAAGTAGCTTTATCGCCGCCGGAGAGGTTAATGTAGAGGAAGACGGGGAAAGTGGTTAATAAGGAGGAATCGGCCGATGCAAAATGACTAACGCGATACTAGTTACGAATGGTACGGCTAGGGTTGGTACACGGAAGGAGATAGCAGAAAATGTGCATAGGAGAAAGTGGAGGGTTGATTATACGAGTTCTAATCAAGGTTTCTAACTTCCTTCTGTCGGACTTTCATCGTTTGTTTCTTTTTGAAATTCTGGTGAAACACTATGTCTGGCTTTACACGTCGACGTTACATGTTATGCTGCTGTAAGAGCTGATTGTCTTGAAGGTTTTAGTCATTTTTTATAAGTTTTCGAAGCTCCAATGCATTCGAGGTGTGGAGGATCTTGAAGGTACTGGGAAGACATTTTCTAGACACACAGGGACAGAGACACAGAGACAGAGACACAGAGACAGAGACACAGAGACAGAGACACAGAGACAGAGACACAGAGACAGAGACACAGAGACAGAGACACAGAGACAGAGACACAGAGACAGAGACACAGAGACAGAGACACAGAGACAGAGACACAGAGACAGAGACACAGAGACAGAGACACAGAGACAGAGACACAGAGACAGAGACACAGAGACAGAGACACAGAGACAGAGACACAGAGACAGAGACACAGAGACAGAGACACAGAGACAGAGACACAGAGACAGAGACACAGAGACAGAGACACAGAGACAGAGACACAGAGACAGAGACACAGAGACAGAGACACAGAGACAGAGACACAGAGACAGAGACACAGAGACAGAGACACAGAGACAGAGACACAGAGACAGAGACACAGAGACAGAGACACAGAGACAGAGACACAGAGACAGAGACACAGAGACAGAGACACAGAGACAGAGACACAGAGACAGAGACACAGAGACAGAGACACAGAGACAGAGACACAGAGACAGAGACACAGAGACAGAGACACAGAGACAGAGACACAGAGACAGAGACACAGAGACAGAGACACAGAGACAGAGACACAGAGACAGAGACACAGAGACAGAGACACAGAGACAGAGACACAGAGACAGAGACACAGAGACAGAGACACAGAGACAGAGACACAGAGACAGAGACACAGAGACAGAGACACAGAGACAGAGACACAGAGACAGAGACACAGAGACAGAGACACAGAGACAGAGACACAGAGACAGAGACACAGAGACAGAGACACAGAGACAGAGACACAGAGACAGAGACACAGAGACAGAGACACAGAGACAGAGACACAGAGACAGAGACACAGAGACAGAGACACAGAGACAGAGACACAGAGACAGAGACACAGAGACAGAGACACAGAGACAGAGACACAGAGACAGAGACACAGAGACAGAGACACAGAGACAGAGACACAGAGACAGAGACACAGAGACAGAGACACAGAGACAGAGACACAGAGACAGAGACACAGAGACAGAGACACAGAGACAGAGACACAGAGACAGAGACACAGAGACAGAGACACAGAGACAGAGACACAGAGACAGAGACACAGAGACAGAGACAGCACAATGTCTCATAGTCTCAATGTCTCATAGTCTCAATGTCTCATAGTCTCAATGTCTCATAGTCTCAATGTCTCATAGTCTCAATGTCTCATAGTCTCAATGTCTCATAGTCTCAATGTCTCATAGTCTCAATGTCTCATAGTCTCAATGTCTCATAGTCTCAATGTCTCATAGTCTCAATGTCTCATAGTCTCAATGTCTCATAGTCTCAATGTCTCATAGTCTCAATGTCTCATAGTCTCAATGTCTCATAGTCTCAATGTCTCATAGTCTCAATGTCTCATAGTCTCAATGTCTCATAGTCTCAATGTCTCATAGTCTCAATGTCTCATAGTCTCAATGTCTCATAGTCTCAATGTCTCATAGTCTCAATGTCTCATAGTCTCAATGTCTCATAGTCTCAATGTCTCATAGTCTCAATGTCTCATAGTCTCAATGTCTCATAGTCTCAATGTCTCATAGTCTCAATGTCTCATAGTCTCAATGTCTCATAGTCTCAATGTCTCATAGTCTCAATGTCTCATAGTCTCAATGTCTCATAGTCTCAATGTCTCATAGTCTCAATGTCTCATAGTCTCAATGTCTCATAGTCTCAATGTCTCATAGTCTCAATGTCTCATAGTCTCAATGTCTCATAGTCTCAATGTCTCATAGTCTCAATGTCTCATAGTCTCAATGTCTCATAGTCTCAATGTCTCATAGTCTCAATGTCTCATAGTCTCAATGTCTCATAGTCTCAATGTCTCATAGTCTCAATGTCTCATAGTCTCAATGTCTCATAGTCTCAATGTCTCATAGTCTCAATGTCTCATAGTCTCAATGTCTCATAGTCTCAATGTCTCATAGTCTCAATGTCTCATAGTCTCAATGTCTCAGTGTCTTAATCTCTTAATGTCTTAATGTCTCAATGTAACAGTGTCTTAATGTCTTAGTGTCTCAATGTCTCAGTGTCTTAATGTCTTAGTGTCTCAATGTCTCAGTGTCTTACTGTCTTAGTGTCTCAATGTCTCAGTGTCACAGACAGTGCCTCAAAAATCTCAGTCTGAACCATCCTTCAAAGCACTTCCTGAAGAGCTACCTTAACTCCATCCCTAAGGAACCTAACCTAACCCAAAAAGCAGAGAAGTTAGATACGAAAAGGCGAGCACCGGAATCGAAAGTTAAGATTATCGGTTTGTAGAGGCAGAGGTGCACTCGAGTGGCCGATTACACGCATCATAAATCACACGGTAGCGTGTAATTATGTAACGTAGATTATAGATTCCAGCATCGACAGCGTAGCTGAATGAGCGGTTGCGATATATCCAGCGGGAAAATTTTTCGAATTTTACGCATAATGGCGGCTCGTCCCCCGGTATCATTTGCCTTCAATGATCCATCAATGGCAGACAATGCTCGGTCGGTAATGGAACACCGTCCAGGAATCCGCTGACACACGCGAAATTCGCGTGAGCGTGGCATCGCCAAAGACACGCTCGAGCGGGCGCACACGCACATCGTATAAATCAACCGATACCGTATAATCCAGTAGCATAAATTGCACCATTCGACACTGCTAATTCCCAATAAATGGCCGTCTATCCTTAGATAACCGCGTTTTCGAGTTACTCCTTTTATTTCTAGCGAAGTGTGTCCCGCGATCGTGATTCATCGCGAAAAAATTCCCGTTACGCTCGAGGTGCAATTACGTTGATTAATTGAGAGAAAGAGACACCGGGACAGTTGCAGCGTTTTTCTTCTTTTTTTTCGCGTGTTTTCCCGCCGACCGCGTCTTTCGATTAAAATGGCCACCGATCGCGTAGCCAGTTCCTGACTCTGTAATTACGGGATATAACGTTTCGTCGTATGAAACTCCGTTAAACAAAAAGTTTTATAGAGTGCTAAGGAGCGAGGGGAAGGTACGTATTTCAACAGGTTCATCGACAGTGTTATTGGTCGTTAATGCCATGATCCTCCATGTTTTGGAGCAGCCATTTAGCTTCTCTGGTGTAATAAGGTCATAGGTAACACTCTCGAACACCAGAGACGACACTCTCTATCGGCATCTTTGATCTCTCGACGTTCCTTTAAATTGGTTGTAACAAGCGGGAAATTTAAATCGAGCAAATCTACTTTCATGTCGATCTCCAATAATTTGGAATATATTTGTAAATAAATTTTCTGTATATAATATTGTCTTTCGAGGTATTTTTATCAATTTTACGGCGTTGAAAAGTTGTAAAGAAAAGAATATACCAAAATGATTGCTTTACAAAATATATTTGAAGAATATGTATTACGGAAATGATTATTACAAATAACTTGTAAGATAATGAAAAACTATATATCACAAGAAATTACGGATGAATGTGTTACAGATATGACAAAATATTTATTAGAAATTAATTACTGATGAATGTGCAGGTTTAAACTATTCTTCTTCGACCGCCATACTTCTACACTGTGCGCATGCGCACCCGTAGTTCTCTTGATTTGGGAATTTGAATTATGTCCTCTGTCTCATAAATTCAAAAGTAAAATGAAAAGTAACTTATAGTAGATTGCGAAGTAACAAAAGTAATGGTCGATAACTGAAAAACTGAAATTTCTGTTAAATAATTATTACGCAACCCCATATTTACGTTTGTTTTCGCTGCAGAATTTAATGTGTTAATGAAAAAGATACAATCAGAGTATACGTAGACTATAACGCGTACACCTACCTTTATTTAATATGATTTTTAATTTATAGTTACTTTTATTTACCGTAGCAGCTGCGCTTATCGTTGCATCGAACCGTCGTAATGATCACCTTCTCTCTTAACACGAGTTCGCGCACGTATAATCATTATTACCTACAGCTCCCTATTTAGATGTCTAGATACCAGGTGTTGCTTCTAAACATATCCTACTATGTACTTTTCTTATCGTTACACGAAACGGAAAATAGGGAAACAAGACGATAATGTCAATATTCGAAGAAGTGCTGCATTAATCAATAAAATAGGCTTCGGGCAACGAGGTTGGGGTTGTCGGAGAGCGCTTGTGAGATTCGAGATGTTATGAATTTGCAAATTTTTAAGTTCTCAAGGTTTTAGGTTTTTGAGTTTACAAATTCTTAAATTTCCAAACCTTGCAACCCTCAAGAACCTACATTTCTAAATTCTCTAAATAAATAAATACATAAATTTCTAAATTCCTAAATTTCCAAATCTTGCAACCTCTAAGTCCTTATATTCCCAAATTCCACAAATGACCAAATCAACAAATTTCCATGTACCTACATTTCCAAATCTTGCAACCCCCAAGTCTTTATATTCCCAAATTTCTCAAGTTACCAAATCTTACAACCTCCAATCCCCATATCCCAAATTCTCCAAATTACCAAATCTTGCAACCCCCAATCCCCACATCCCCAAATTCCACAAATGACCAAATCAACAAATTTCCATGTACCTACATTTCCAAATCTTGCAACCCCCAAGTCCTTATATTCCCAAATTCCACAAATGACCAAATCAACAAATTTCCACATACCTACATTTCCAAATCTTACAACCTCCAATCCCCATATCCCAAATTCTCCAAGTTACCAAATCTTGCAACCTTCAATCCCCACATCCCCAAATTCCACAAATGACCAAATCGTCACATCCCAAATTCTCCAAATTACTAAATCTTGCAATCCCCAATCCCCAAATCCCTCAAATTTCACTAATGATCAAATCCTCACATTCCAAATTCTCCAAATTACCAAATCTTGCAACCCCCAATCCCACAATCACCAAATTCCACAAATGACCAAATCCTCACGTTCCAAATTTTCCAAATTACTAAATCTTACAACCCCCAATCCCCACATCCCCAAATTCCACAAATGACCAAATCCTCACGTCCCAAATTCTCCAAATTACCAAATCTTGCAACCCCCAATCCCGCAATCCCCAAATTCCTCAAATTTCCAAATCCCTCAACTTCCAAATTCTCCAAATTACCAAATCTTGCAACCCCCAATCCCGCAATCCCCAAATTCCTCAAATTTCCAAATCCCTCAACTTCCAAATTCTCCAAATTACCAAATCTTGCAACCCCCAATCCCGCAATCCCCAAATTCCTCAAATTTCCAAATCCCTCAACTTCCAAATTCTCCAAATTACCAAATCTTGCAACCCCCAATCCCGCAATCCCCAAATTCCTCAAATTTCCAAATCCCTCAACTTCCAAATTCTCCAAATTACCAAATCTTGCAACCCCCAATCCCGCAATCCCCAAATTCCTCAAATTTCCAAATCCCTCAACTTCCAAATTCTCCAAATTACCAAATCTTGCAACCCCCAATCCCGCAATCCCCAAATTCCTCAAATTTCCAAATCCCTCAACTTCCAAATTCTCCAAATTACCAAATCTTGCAACCCCCAATCCCACAATCACCAAATTCCACAAATGACCAAATCCTCACGTTCCAAATTTTCCAAATTACTAAATCTTACAACCCCCAATCCCCACATCCCCAAATTCCACAAATGACCAAATCCTCACGTCCCAAATTCACCAAATTACTAAATCTTGCAACCCCCAATCCCTCAATCCCCAAATTCCACAAATGACCAAATTCTCACGTCCCAAATTCTCCAAATTACCAAATCTTGCAACCCCCAATCCCGCAATCCCCAAATTCCTCAAATTTCCAAATCCCTCAACTTCCAAATTCTCCAAATTACCAAATCTAGCAACCCCTAATCCCCACATCCCCAAATTCCCTAAATTTCCAAATCCCTCAGCTCCCAAATCTCTTCACTCTCCAACTCCTCACACCCTCAATCTCTGAACTCCCCAAATCCCTCCCCCAAAATCTCTCAATCCCCAAATCTCTCCAAAGCAACCCAAAATCCCTAAACTACCCAGAGTCCCAAACCCTTAATCCGGCACTGATACGAGCAAAAACGAACCACAATTTATTACCCAAAAAAAGCGAACGCAAGAAAGTTAGTACATCTAAAAGAAACAAAAAAAGTAGCAAGAAAAGGTCGGTCGACAAAATGAAAGATATGACCGAACGCATCACCGGAAGTCATTCATCTGACCTTACACAGTGTATCGCGGTTAATAAAGTACTTATAACGTTTTCTTGATGTTTTGTCGCGCAGAGCGTGGTAATGTTGATGTTCCGAGAGGAGAAGAGCCCAGAGGACGAGATTAAGGCGTGGCAATTCTGGCACGGAAGACAACACTCTGTCAAGCAACGCATCCTGGATGCCGGTAAGTAAAGCGTGCAGAATCATCGGAGTTGATCCCATTAAATACGGTGAAAAACCAGTGATCAAGTTTGTCCGGGGGAAAGTTGTCTAATATGGAGAGGACTCGAAATGAGGGGTCAAATATGTACATTGTGTTAAATGTACACTTATAGGGAAAATTCTGAACTTAATAGGGCATAGTACAACGTAGGCTGTGTATCGGATGAGAACACCTGTGTAAAATTTACAGATTTTCTATTTGAAGTTACTTTAATTTACAAGTTTTTTATTTGTTTAATTTTCTGGTTTTGAAATTTGTTAAATACCACGTATTCAAGGTTTTAGATTTGTAAAATTCCCTAGATTTGTATATACAAATTTTTTATGTTTTCAAATTTGCAAGCTTTGGAACCTTTAAATCAACGTAGCGGTAGGTTTCTCCAAGTCTAGGGAATATCAGTAGATTCCTATATCTTTAGATCCCAATCTCTCTAGATCCCTATCTCCCTAGATTCCAATCACCCTAGACCCCAATCTCCCTAGATTCCAATCTCTCTAAATTCCAATCTCTCTAAATTCCAATCTCCCTAGATTCCATTCTCCCTAGATTCCAATCTCCCTAGATTCCAATCTCCCTAAATTCCAGTCTCTCTAAATTCCAATCCCCCTAGATCCCAATCTTCCTAAATCCCTATCACCCTAGATCCCAATCTCTCTAAATTCCAATCTCCCTAGATCCCAATCTCCCTAGATCACAATCTCCCTAGATTCCAATCTCCCTAAATTCCAATCTCTCTAAATTCCAATCTCTCTAAATTCCAATCTCTCTAAATTCCAATCTCCCTAAATTCCAATCTCTCTAAATTCCAATCTCCCTAAATTCCAATCTCTCTAAATTCCAATCTCCCTAAATTCCAATCTCTCTAAATTCCAATCTCCCTAAATCCCAATCTCCTTATGCCCCAATCTCCCTAAATTCCAATCTCCCTAAATTCCAATCTCTCTAAATTCCAATGTCTCTAAATTCCAATCTCCCTAAATCCCAATCTCCCTAGATCCCAATCTCCTTAGATCCCAGTCTCCCTAGATCCCAGTCTCCCTAGATCCCAATCTCCCCAGAACCCAATCTCCCTAGATCCCAATCTCCCCAGAACCCAATCTCCCTTGATCCCAATATTTCTATAAATCCCAATATCCCCAAATCCCAATAATTTTATAAATCCCAATATCCCTAGTTCCCCATATTTTTATAAATCCCAATATCCCTAGATCTTCAAGTATCCCTAGATCCCCAAATATTCCTAGATACCAATATCCCTAGATCCTTAATAATTTCCCAAATTCCCATTTTCATAAATTGCCAAATATTCCCCTCTTACTATATTACCGAAAAATACTCTCCATATTAGGCAAATTTCCTCTACCCCACGTGTCTGGAAAGTTGGCAGCTGAAAGTAACATGAAGCTAATTTTTTTGGTGGACCATCTTATCAGACACGCAGGCGGTACCTGTTTTAATTACGATCGTAATTATTGAGCATGTTCAATGCAAAATAAATCTGTTGCTAATAAATGCCATATAACATGAGTGGTGTATTTTATGCGCAAGCCAATCGATACAGGATAATAGCCTCGGTAAGATCGTGTTAAAGCGACGCATCAGAAAGGAATCGCGCCCTTTCGAACCGTCGATGAATGATTTGCAATTATTATAATAATCTGCACTATTACAGACACGAAGAACAGCGTGGGACTGGTGGGCTGCATAGAAGAAGTTGCACACAATGCGATCGCCGTTTATTGGAACCCACTCGAGTCCTCGGCTAAGGTACCAGACGAATCCTTTGATTTACATTTGCATTTAACAGTCTATGGGAGGATCTAATGGTGGATAGACATTGGCGTAACTGGGACGGTTGTTTTTTTGGAGAAATTAATTTTTTGTGGTCATGTGTTGTATTGTGCGTTGAATTTTTGGCGATGTATGTGGATATTAGGGATTTAGACATTTTTTAAATGCACGAATGTGTAAATCTCTGAATATTTGAATCTCCGCATTCATAAATTCCCGAATTCCTTAACTTTCAAATGTAGAAACTCCTGAATCTCTAAATTCCCGACTTTCTAAATCCCCGTATATCTAAATTCCCGACTTCCTAAATCCCCGAATCGCTAAATTCGTGACTTGCTAAATCCCCGTATCTCTAAATTCCCGACTTTCTAAATCCCCGTATCTCTAAATCCCCTACTTTCTAAATCCCCGTATCTCTAAACTCCCGACTTTCTAAATCCCCGAATCGCTAAATTCGTGACTTTCTAAATCCCCGTATCTCTAAATTCCCGACTTTCTAAATCCCCGTATCTCTAAATTCCCGACTTCCTAAATTCCTGGAACCCTAAATCCCCGAATCCCTAAATCTCCTAATTCCTCAAATTCTCCAAATCTTCCAAATTCCCCAAATCCCAAAAATCCTTCAAATCTCCCAAATTCCCAAAATCCTCAAATCTCCCTAGATCCCTAAATCCCAAAATCCAAATGAATATTAATCTCTTATGAATAGGGAAATGAATTTGTCTATAAATCGTACCTAATTACGTCAGTGTAGCTCGAAATAAATTCACACTTTCAGTACATGAGTCTTGTTCAATATATGGCCGTTTTGTTAAATACCATTTTGTTGTACATTGTTTCAGATCAACGTGGCGGTTCAATGTCTCAGCACAGACTTCTCCAGTCAAAAAGGTGTGAAAGGACTGCCGTTGCACATTCAAGTGGACACTTATGAGGAACCTCCACCACATACTCACACGTATACGCCACCCTCGCACCGTGGTTATTGTCAGATCAAGGTGTTCTGCGATAAGGTACTTGAAAACAAAATAACAATGTTAACTAACTAAAAACTGAAACGAAAATTAAAGAAAATAATTTAGTAAAATAAGAATCATGTTTAAAGAAGTTCATGTATGTTCAAGTATTTACGCAAGTTGTTTGAATGTTCATACAGGGAGCCGAAAGAAAGACACGTGACGAAGAAAGGAGAGCAGCGAAGAGAAAAATGACGGCTACCGGTCGGAAAAAACTTGACGAATTGTATCATTCCGTAACGGAACGCAGCGAATTTTATTCCATGGTCGATCTTCACAAACCACCGGTTCTCTTCTCGCCACCGGCCGAGCACACCATAGACAAGGTACTTTTCGACTTTCTGATTGAAAACCGAGGAAACTATTAATAATTGAGTTGTTGCGTATCAAATATAATGTTGAGAGAATTTCATGACATAAAAGTATCACAGAATGATGTATTAATGTAAAGTTTGAAGTAGGAAGATGACTCTGCAAGTACTTCGTTAATGTTTCTGACACAAAATGGCTGGTTCATGACATGAAAGTACTACAAAATGGCGCCTGCCATTCAACTTAAACTTTTAATTAAGTTAATTTAAACTTTAAAAAAATAACTGTGTAAGTGCTTCATAAGTGATTTCAATACAAAATGGCTGGTACAAGTTCATGACATAAAAGTACTACAAAATGGCGTCTGTAATGTTTCAACTTAAACTTTTAATTAAGTCAATTCAAGCTTTAAGAAAATAACTGTGTAAATGTTTCATAAGTGAATGCAATACAAAATGGCTGGTACAAGTTCATGACATAAAAGTACTACAAAATGGCGCCTACAATGTATCAACTTAAAACTTAAAGCTTTAAGAAAATAACTGAGCAAGTATCTTATAAGTAATTTCAAAACAAAATGGTTGACAACCAGTTAAAGTAAACACTAATCAATTTTGATACTTAAAAAGTGTAAAACTATTTATTGCTATAACAATATGATTTCAAATCATGCGTATGCTAATTTAAAGGTTAAAATATGTATAAAATAACCTTAAAATTATTTCATTGATATGTGAATCATATTTAGAAATATGAATACACAAATTCATTTCATATTTCATTTCATTTTGAAATAAAGTTTAATAGAATGTTTACAAAACCTTTGCACATTTTCTCTGAACTTAATCTCCGATTCGCCTCTCCATAAGCGGCATTCAATGATACTCTTATGTCATCGAAAGTGAAGTCACTTTCTAAGTCATTTGATATGCAACAACCTAATATTAGCAAACGACTACCTCCTTCCGTATAAGTCTTCTGTTTTTCGAACTAGAGCATGATCTTCGAAAACAATTTAAAGAATATAGCTTAGAACACTTATTTTAACACCTTCACTAAAACTCACAATCCACGAAATCGCGAAATAAAATTAAGTGAACGTGTTAATTGAACAGGTCAGCAAGATGGCTGTTCGCCTACTTTAATGAACTAACTAATTATGAGAAATCAGGCTGAATATGCCTGCGTAGTATCCACAATCCTCTGCTCTCAACACCGCCAAAACTCTCCACTAACCGCAACTCTTACATCGCCATAACAAACCGTAGTCATTTTTGTCAGCGGACAGTTAAGTACCCGCTAGATAGATACACTGTAGTCGTGCAAGTACGAAATTCTTTGATGTCGAGGATGCTACTTTTCGCTGCTTAGAACAGCTTCGCCATCTTGGATTTTACTGCAGAAGAATTTCTCGAGCTTGGTGCTTGAACAACCCTTTTAGAATGAGTGGCGTATTTTTCGAACAACCATTTCTTGTATTTGATAAGAGTTTGAAGGTGTTTTTACTGTTTTTAGAGTTGCTTGTGTACGATTGATAATGTGAAAATTGTAAGTTTGTTTATAGATTATTTTAACAAGATATTGTGGGAAAAGATTTTCCAAAGGATCAACATATCAATTTTTACCGATTAGTAGATTATTGTTATGTTTAATGACTTTCAAGTTTTTAATTTCCCAAAATTTTACAAATTCTCAAATGTAAAAATTTAGATGTTATCCACTTTCATATTTTCAAAATTTCAGTAGTAGAATTTCTAGATCCTAAATCCATAAATTCTCAAATTCTTTCCAAACTTCATATCACCAAATTTCTAAATCCCCAAATTCCCAAACCCATAAGTCAAATCCTGAAATTTGCAAATCCATAAATTCTCTAATTGACACATCCACATATCTTCGAATCTCTAAATCCAGGAATTCCTAAAATTCCAAATTGCTATATCTTTAGATCAATATACCTTCAAATCTATAAATCCCCCAATCACTATATTCTCAAATCTCAAAATCCTCAAGTCACTACATCCTCAAATTCTCAAATCTCCAAATTCTCAAATCCCCAAATACCCAAATCCCCAAATCCTCAAGTTCCCAAATAGCCAAATCCCCAAGTTCACATATTCCCAAATCCTCGAGTCCCCAAATCCCCAAATCCCCAAATTCTTCAATTCTCAAGTCCCCAAATCCCCAAATCCCCAAATCCTCAAGTTCCCAAATAGCCAAATCCCCAAGTTCACATATTCCCAAATCTTCGAGTCCCCAAATCCCCAAATCCTCAAGTTCCCAAATAGCCAAATTCCCAAGTTCACATATTCCAAATCCTCGAGTCCCCAAATCCCCAAATTCTTCAATTCTCAAGTCCCCAAATCCCCAAGTTCCCAAATCCCCAAATCCCCAAATCCTCAATTCCCCAAATAGCCAAATCCCCAAATCCTCGAGTCCCCAAATCCCCAAATCCCCAAATTCTCCAATTCTCAAATCCCCAAATCCTCAAGTCCCGAAATCCCCAAACCCCCAAATTTCAAAATCCCCCAACTCCCAAACTCCCAAACTTCCCACCTCCCCAAATCAAAAAATCCCAATTCCACGCATTCCCATCTCTTCCCCAACTTCCAAAACCAAATCTAATTTAACAACAAATTAACACAAAACACCATCCCATATCCCATGAACCTCTACCATGTTCGAAAGATACGCCACCCCTTTTAAAACGGTAAAACCCGCGAGTAGTTGTCGCAACCGAACCAAAGAGGAAGTACCGTGCAAAGAGAAAGAGAAAAAATATTTGTTTCTTGTTTTCCACGACAGTTCTCGACGATGGAGTTGTCGGGCTTCTACGGAGGTGGCGGCGGG